TGTTCTTTCTTAATGTGAACATTAACCACAATTTTAGTTCATTTGCAAAACCTGAGATCTCTCTACATTACTTTTACCATGTGGCAGAAAGGCAGAAATTCCAATATTATCACATTAATCTCACCTTCCCCATATCTAAAAATTCCAATACCTTTTCCTAAACATCTTTCATATGGGAATTGGGGGTGGGGGGTGGGGGGGGTTGGGGGTGGGGTGTGTGTGTGTGTGTTTCTGTTTTCGTTCCTGTGGGTTGGTTGTGTCTCTCCCCACCCACCCCCCAGCAGTATATGCATTTTTGCTAACTACAGGTATTCTAAGATTGGCTCTCCTGGTAAACAGGTTCATTCTTTAACAACAGAGTCAAAAAGTTATCTTGATACTAAAAGGCATGCCTCAATTATGGGATCTAACTACACCCAGCCATCTGAACTTAAAACCAGAATTGCTAAAGTATTCTTTCTTTAACTGCATTAAGGATTTTAATCACACGTTTTAATCTTCATATATTAAAGAAAAAGGTTGCTTCACAAGGATTTAGAAACTTGTAATACACACTATGCATGAGTGTCTCTTGTTCTTCCAGAGACTACAAAAATTGGAGTTGATCATCATCCACCTGCAGTGTACCAGTCATTAGCTGTTCTTTACTAGCTCAATAGTAAAACTACAGAAACACACTTCAATACCACATAATCTGCTTTAGCACAGGCCATCACTGAAGGTAGTTCGTGCACACCTTGTTGAGCTGTGACCACTACCTGGTATATCTCAATGACATCTGTACCTGCATGGCGGGTACACCTTCATTACACAGTGGCAGGCTTCATTTGCCACAAAGCTTAGTTAGCTTTTTTTTTCACTATTCATCTGTATACTCCACTCATCACTCAATGAAAGCAGTACTATTTAGAAATATTACACTTGAGGCAATAAACTGTGAATGTTTATATACTGCCATTAAGAAAACAAAAGTTTTTACTTGCTAGTAGCAACCTGTACCTATTTTAACAGTTAACCTAAGACCAACTAGCTCAAATTAACTTCTGAGGTCTAAGACTTGCTGATCGGTTCAGGACATGTAAATATTAAGATCATTTTCTTGGATTGAAACATGGCCACCTGAACAAACTGAACTTCAGGTTAGTGTAATATTAAGCAAAAATACATATTGCCATTTATAACACTGTTCCCACTGTAAGGTCACTTCCATGCAAACCCAAGCTACAAATGCCATACAAAATCCAATGGATTGAAGACCTTACAGATCCCTTCTTAAATGGAAGATCGATCTCACTGGAGTTATCCCCATAATGAGTCAGGGTTTTTCCTGAGAGGTTGTATTAATTACAAGAAAATAGAGCAGAGCAAGGCACTGCTAATGATTGAAGCCACCTAAGCCTTGTTATATCATCAGGTCTTCTAATGAGAGAAGTTATTGCTAGCATGAAACCCACATCATATTTCTTCATCTTCAAATGCTGACAGATTTTAACAACAGATATACCAGTTTTCTTCAGAGCAGCTTTTAAGCATCTCACTAATTCAAAAGTGTAAATGATCACGCTGCTCTAAATGAAGTATTATAAGACATATAGGACAGTTTCATTGGACTAGTTTAAGGCAGTTATACACTGATCACTTCCTGGCAAAAGACTCATCAGTGATTGTCACTGAATGTTTGTCTTCTGCTAGAAGTATCAACTTAAGCACACACATGAAACTCAAAATTCTGTTGAAAACTGTGGATTGGAAATAGGTTGGCTTATCAAAACAGCTGTTTGTACTAGAAGAAAAAACATTTAATTGCAACATCCAAAGGAAGTCTTTGACCACAATCTGAAACATGAACAATCCTTTAATAGCCACTTCTGCTTTCCAGATGCAGGGACTATGTATTTTTGTCTGTCATTTCAAACACTGTAATGTTAAATCACCTCTGAATTGTAACACACATCTGCATAATGAAAAGATTACCTATAATTTATTTTATGCCAGCTCTCAACAGTGTTTTGTAACACAGCTTCATTTAAAGTATGCTGACATTGCTTCTTAAGTAAAGCCCTGGTTTACTGATGAGGCATCTATTTATCTTTGTCAAATTCCCAAGAAGGAAGCTTTTTAATCCCAAATTCATTACACTTAGTAATAGTACTTAGTTATTTTTAAATAACCATTCTGAGCGACAGAATTAGGTACATTCCACATCACACTGAAGAGAAAAAAAAATCTGAAAACTGTTATTAGGGGGTAGAACAATACTGAAAGCATCACTCCTGTAACCAGAAACTCAGGATCTGATACATTCCATTCCTGGCTTTCAACAGATGATCCATGTTCATGTAAAAACTCTTAAACTATTATGATTACTAACCCATTAGTGTAAAAATAGATACTGAATTATCTATGAAGCATTTAAGACATTTTTAGATCTGAAATATTTAACACTAAACAGTATCAGATTACACTCAACATTCACCTGGCTTTGAAGCAGACACACTAAAATTAAAACTTAAAATGCACAACCAGGGTTAATCACTGCAGATAAGGAATCAATTAAACAGTCTACCGAAGTTGGACTTTAGGTACTGCAAGTCATTTAAGTACTAGAAAGTCTATTTTTACTTACCATTATCTTCTGTGCAGTCAAATGACATAGACTATTCTACTGGCTGTGCAGCAGAACTAAGAGTGCATTTCATAACTTCTTTTCTGCACGCCAGTGACCAAGGCAAGTACACTGTCACACTAACCATACATATGGAACTGTGACCAATAATCAGCCAAATGTCACACTCTGATTGTGGGGAATTCGATTTTTGACACTCCAAGTTTTACTTAAATTACCGTTTGAATACAAGTGTTGGCTTTAGAGTGGACACCAAACTTCATGAACAATTACCTGAACTGAAATGTATTTTGCAATTCAAACTTTAAATATTCAATCTGCATTTAAGTACTTATTACCTACATGTTACAACTGCGTTTTCTAGACTTCACAGATGCTTTTATTTTTCTACTTTTTTAAAAAATAAAAAGCTTCTACCACGTACCTGGAAGTCTGACCATCTAAAGAAACTTTCGTGAAGATAGCTTTAAAAAAAAAAATCACATAACCCAATTTATCCAGATAAGCTCAGCTGTGCAGCATCTGCTCAGGAGTTGGTAATTTAAAAATATGTATTTTATGGAAAACCTAGTAACCAGTTATATATTGGCAAGTATAATTACATGAGACAGTCATCCCTCTCCAAACTGCCGGTAAACTAACAACGTAGTCCTCGTGGCATTTTTCAACTCTCTTTTGTAACAGTCTACACAAAGGGGCACCTAAGCAGTGACTCTTTCCTCCCATGGATTTTTTTAGCCTAAGTAAATATACACTTGCAAACTGTGACCAGATAACTGTGAAAATCAGGCTCCTGGAAAGATTTTAACATCAGAGTTTCTAGGAAATATTATTTATTTGTACTAGATGGCTGTAAAATGATAGTAATTTGTTCCTTCTTCCTCCACTACCTGTATTAAGGATCAAGCAATCTTCAGCTCAACTTCCTCTTCAGTTGCCACATCCCATCTTCATCTGACAGAGCAAATGGCAAAGTACAACTTGGTCTTTCCTATGCCCAACTAATGTAACTAGTTAGCTCCAGACAAGAGATGTCGTGCTGGTGCTGGAGGCAAATCAGCAAGACTCTTCATAAAGACAGACTTTTATGTCTCTAAGTCCAAATAGTCACAAAGTCAGGAATTATAAGATTCAGGGCATGAACACAGACTCAAGCTTGCACTTGACCCAGTTCAATTGTCCAAAAACTGTTTTGTCACGTTCCCTGCCTCGCTGCCTACTTCAAAACTTGCTACTCCATTTTAAACAATTAATATTTTCCACTAATATCTCACTAATGTGAGGGAATAACAGTCTTAATATTGTGCAGTGTATTAATTTAAACACACTCTTTTGTGAAAATGTTCTGTGTTTATGTCCATGTTGCCTTTCAGTTTTATTTCTCAAAATAAAAAAATAATAAAAAAAAAAGGTCTCCCCTCACTGGTGTATGGAAGCACCAAAATAATTGCTAGGCTGAACAGTAAAGTTAAGCCTCTGAAGAATAATCAAAGGCACAAGGGAATAAAAATGTGCAGCCATGTATAATATTCCTATCCTGAAGTTGGGAATCCTGCTTTTAGAGGACACTACATTCATTTTAAACTATGTCATACCCCTCACCCCCAACAAGAACAGAATTAGTATTCCTTATTTTAGATTTTAAAGACAGTATTTACATAAGAGTTGTACAACGCAGAAATTCAGAAACTGATCTTAGTATCTTATTGTAGTAACAGCCTTCCTCCAACAGTATAAACACAAACTTAAGTTTTGGGTCATAACAAATCTCCTCTTTAAAAATTGGAAAGAAAAAAATTACAGTTGCATGTCCTATATGAAACCTTTCAAACAAAAAATGAGTATTAAAACAGGAGTATAATTTAAAAAGCTGTGTATTGGAGTGTTTATAAACCAGAAGTGTTAAGCAGCAGCTGTTTCTGGTTTCTTATTAAATTCAATTAGACTACAAATTTTGAAACGCATTACAAACCAATGTGGAACTATACTACTTATGCACCTTTGCAGGTGTTTCAGTAAAGAAAGCCTCCAACGAGAATAAACAGAGGCAGCACATTATATTAAGTCAAAACTTGCCTTCAACATGCCAAAAAGAACTGTGTCATATGTTCATTTGTCACCAAAGCACCCCCTAAGAGATGCATTATTGCTGTAGAACATTTCAAGTTTACCAACACCCAAGTGCAACCAAACTGATGTTGTATATATGCACTTGCCCATTCTCACCAGTATTTCCAGTTAGTTTTTTCTTTAAACAATCAAATTTAAAGCTTTGAAAAATAACATTTTTTTGATTTTAGTTTTTTTTCCCACAATATTAATCACCACATGCAATTTAGTTTTCTGATAATTTTTCTAAAAAACTGCACCAATATCAGAACAGTGCAAATCATATTTAATTGTAAAAGTTATAATGGCTTGAGTTCATAATTAGAGGGAACACTGTCAGGATCTTGGTATTTTGCTCACTCACCATTGCTTGCATTCCATTAAAAACTTTCCTGTCAATTTTGCCTTTTTTTATTTCTAGTCATCCCCCCATGCTTTTATCAGAGCTGAAATTAGGAATTTAATCCACAATTTCAACACACAGAGTGCGCCTTAGTTGCAATGTTTTTATGCACTTCCATCTACCGTTACAAATTCCAAAAACGTATTATCCCCCGCAACACGTTTCCAGAGTAAGAACTAGTCACTAGCACTTGTGATCCAACAAGTGTTTTAAGTTTTTCAGCAATGGAGAGATTTCAAGATTAAGGAATCTGAGGGCTTTCCCTCTCCTACAGTCCCCAGTGTTTCATTTCATAGCAAGTTCAAAATTGGTTTCCACATCTTGACAGTGTTCCTTATAAAACCGTATGACAGTAAAAGTGCCAGTAGGCATGGCAACCTCTTTGAAGGGAGCATTTAAACTCCTTGGCACTGGGAATGCCAGCACCAAGGATTACATTGAAATTCAAACTTATACTTAAGGCTACAATTAGAAAACCCACTTTCCATAAGCCTAATTTTTTAAAGTAGATTTCAAAATTCAGAAGCTAATGCAACTGTTAAGTTTTACGCTCGAATTTGAGGAAGAAATTTCTTTTCTTTAGCAAGGGCAGTATATGAAACTCTGGTAGCAAATGTCTCTTAGGCATTGACTACTCATTTCACCATTGTTCACTCACTTTGTCCTAAAAGTTCAAAACTGGCAAGGCACATTTACATATTCCAATGAATATTGACAATTTTTAATTACACTTTATGTCCCAGCTATCCCAGTAATTGACATACAACATACTAAAATGGTTTATTAAGATAACAAAAAAAAAATCAATTAATGTGAAAACATACAGGCTATTGGCAACCACTATTCTAAAAATTATGTAAATACAAGTAAACATACTGAAATGTGTGCGATTCTAAGTTTTTAACCAGAAGGTCTCTGTACTAACACACATTTATATTAATGACACATAAAAAAAATAAAAACTTTATTACAAAAATAAGTTACACTCGCCTCCAGCTTACAGTATAAAACAATTTTATTTGCAGGAATGCAAAATGATTGTTTGCCATGAGCATTTTCAACATATGACATGTCTAATTTTGTTAAAATTTGCATTTACTGGGGGAACTGGTGTGTATAAAACCTTAATTAGGTATAAGCTTCAATTTTCATTGTGGTGCCTATGGGTATGTAGTATAACTGCAGTATCCCTTTGTGAAGGGTGTTAAGGGAACTCTTTATGCCAAGTCCAAAGTAAGTCATAATTTTATCTATCCTTTACCTATATGAAACTGGACTTGGCAAGGTTCTGTTTTTGTTTTTCTTTTTTTAAGGGTTGTTCAATAGAGGATGCTTCACCACTGAACACTCACTGTCATCAAGGTGCTTTAGAAAATTAAAAACATAGCACAAATGATTGTACTCTACTCTACTCTACAGGTTATCATGATCTGCGTAAGAGAAATGGAAAGCTGATCCACGTGTTTTTACAGTGATCAGCAGCAAGAAATGCACTAATGAAAACATACCTTTTACCTAAAAAGCTAAACTACAGCCATATACTATTCTATGATTTATGAAAAACTTCAAAATATCCAAATGTCAGGCTTCACTGTACAGTTGTCAGTTTTAGTCTGACCTTTTATAAAGGGACACTGCAGTATTTAGTACAAGTTGCTGATGCACTTTTTTTGAACATCTGATGTCTTACAAAAGTAACATCTTGCTAAACTATTATACATCCAAATAACTACAATATCTGAAGAAGCAAGGCTGCTTTTTCAGCCACAAAATACGACAAAAGCAAGGCCTGTTATGATGGTCATGAGGAAGTCTTACAAAGCCTCTGGAACTAAAGGCAACTAAGAATGTTACATTTGGTATATTATAATCTTACCCTCATATCATATTAAACAAGCCTTGCTTTTATCTACAAAGATTTTCTATGTACAGTACAGACAGGGTATAGTTCAATCCTCTGCTACTGAGGTAGTTAACCAACCCTTTAAAAAAGGTTCTGAAAAGAACCACTATCTGGAATGCCTGACTAACCAGCTCTGATGATTACACCTGAAACTGCTGTATCTGAACACAATTCGTGATTACTAAATAGACAATCATGATTAACCTTCATGAGCAGAAATAAAATTTAAGGATACCAATGATGGTATTCATCTATACCACTGCAATAAAAATTTAAATGCAAGAATTCATGAATACCACTTTTGGAATCCTTAGCTAAGAAAACTTGGGGGAAAAATCTACTTAAAGCAGATTTTTTAAAGAACAACTTTTATTCTTTATTAAGATACCATGCTAGATGTTAAGGATTTTGTTGAACACGTTGGGGAAATAGAGTAGCTTTAGTTTAATAACTTGCACTGCAGAGAAAACTGTTAAAGAAATCCATTTCAAAGTCCAAGTATTAGTTCAAATGTCCCATATTTGAATCCATGATCTTCGCAGGAAGGTCTTTTGCAACAGAATATGCTCCTATACAGCTGAGATACTTAAGGTTGCTTGATATCCTTACCATTACTCCACTGCAAGCTTCTGGTGTAATCCCACATAGCAAGTCAGTCTTCATTGTAACAGGTCAGGACCGGCCTCGACCCCTTTTCCCTGCTAGCCAGGTAACAAAAGGAATCAATTAGATAAATCATTTTAAACTCTGGTCTGTACATTTGTTAACATAAAATCTTAGCAAAATGAATTATTTTAAAATAAAACTACTACACAAGAGCAATTTACCTTCTGATTGCCACTAACTTTGGAATTTTGCTATGGTGTTTTACCACTTTGTCACAAACTGCTATTACTTTAAAAGTTAAGCTTTAAACCTTGAATCGCCAGCTAAGGTTTTGCGCACTGAGTCACAAACAATTTTACATTATAGAAAATTCCCAGTAACAGTGATATAAAACTTGATGGTTATAGTCATCATGAAAACACGTTGAAAATTGAATCAAGTCTAAGCATAATATGACTTGTGATCTAGTATGAATTTCAACAACCTAACTGCTTTAGGCACAATTTTTAAAAAAGATCACAACTTCCAGGTGCAATCCTTACTTTTTTTTAACTGTATCCAGAATCGAAGATAGTAGTGCCAAAATGAAGAAGAAAAAAAATACCA